TGTTGAACAGGTTGTTGGTGCATGCACACATGTGCGCGCGCGCACACACACACACACACAGACTGTTTTTAATAACTTGGAACAGAGTCATTTCTTCACATTGTAAATCCTCAACTCCTATATCTCTTGATATAATGAATGTAACCCTCTGACTTTGAGTTAACACAGGCCAGACTCAACATTCCTCCCTGTGCTCACACCTCCAATTCTAGAATCACAGAGCAGGCTGACCTGCTAAAATGGATTTTCTCAGGAAAGAGAGCTGTGACTAAAGAACGTTTCTGATACCAGCAACAGATGCTCTAGGAACTAATTCAGGCAGGAGTGTACACAGATACAGTAACTAAACTGCCTGTTACACATACTGTGAGAAAGTATGTTTACCTCTCTCCCAAGTTGGGCTTTTTAGGGATGGAGTCTTAAAAATAACATGGCTTTATTTCAGCCTTTAATATGCTCTTAATTTTCAAATGAGGTCTGCAAGTGTAAGAAATTAAATCTGAACCTTTCACTGAGCCTAGTATGGCCACCCTTTCCCCTCAAGTACCCTTTTCCCACTTAATTGTGGCCCTTTTAGTGAAACTAAAAAGTATCCAGATTAAAAACCCAGTTAGGCAAAGGTTGCTCATCACCTCAGCTAACTCTGTAGAAGTTCATGAAGGGTTCAAATAACTGTGGAGATTAAAAGGGTAGAATTCTTCCGGAAATTCAGTAAAAAGCTGAGTGAATTCTTTATGGATAATGGGATCCATTTTCAGAAATTCACTATTCATTTCTAGCCAGATGTCCTGCTGAACCAATGATCAAAATTCTGTTTCTACATCCCGGTACAGCAGGTCCTCCATTAGCGTTCAACAATGTTTCATTATAATGTTTATGAGATACTGTAGGAAAGTAACTCTTGTTTGTAATAACTAGCCTATAAAATTGGTGTCATTAGGTGTAATTTTGCTGTAGTGTCAAGTGAGAACTTACTGTATCTGTTCATCTCTAGTAACAAATAAATCAACAAAACCAAATCATTTGGCCAAAAAATTATACCAAATTCTCCAGAGACTAGCCAACAATAAATACTAAAGATCTCTGCTCTATTTGGACCAGAATAGAGATAAACTGCACGTGAACAACATGTGCTCTGGGCATTCTGCATGCCATTTAAATGCCATGGAAGCCCCTCTCCTCTCCAATGGGGGAGTGAGAGAGTGGGGGAGGGGTCCCCCAATGCCATTTCTCTTTTAGCGACTGAGCTCTCCCTTCCTATGTGCCCCCAGCACCTCAGACACATCTCCAGTACACTGCTGTCTGCTCACTTCAGTCTTGACACAAGACAGCAAGAGAAGCTCTTCAAAGTCAAAGACTCACAAACTGTTATCCATTCATTTAAAAACTCCTGGCATAGAAGATCACTGATGCTCAAATACTTAGTAAATTGTGTCTATTATTTGTCCCTATGTCCTAATTCAAACTTATTTTTTTAATAACATTTTCAGTAAACCTGGTGCCTTCCTCAATCATTCTACTGACCACTAAGCATTTCTGTATTACTTTAATAATAAACACTTAGTACCCACTGTCTCACTGCCCTCCTTATTTTATGATCCTCAAGAGGAGAGCTGAGCTCCCCATAAAAACTGACACAATAGTTCATACAATGAGCACTTAATGACTGAAAAAGCAACAGCCTGTTTAACATTAAAGAGTAGTATTACTACCTTAAAATTATGGTCAAGGTCATAGTAAGAACAGAAGGAACAAAGATTACTCATTAGCTACCTTTCTAGATTTTTAAGCAAAGAACGTGGAGGTCAAATTAACTTAGACTGATAACTTTATATAACACTAGGGGCCCAGTGCATGAATTCGTGCACCTTGAAAGGAACTGTGGGCCGTGAGGCTGTGGTGGGCACAGGGGTGGGTCTCGGCCCATCCTCCATACCCCCGCCCGGCCCTTCCCACTGTGGCCCTGGGCCCCTGTCTGCCAGCAGCCTCACTCCTGCCGCTGCCTCTCCCATGCACTGTCGGCGCCAGCCCCGCTCGCTCGCATCCACTGACGGTGCGGAGCAGCAGGTGTGCCGTCAGCGGGTGGGAGCAGTGGCTGCTGCCCCAATCACCCCTCAGGAACAGGGGGAGGTGGAGAAGCCCTCAGGGGCAATCAGGGCCAGCAGCCGCAGCTGGCACCCGCTGATGGCACCAAGTGATCGGGACTGGCGCTGGCAATGGGTGTGAGCGGCAGCTCTGGCGCCAACAGAAGGTGTGAGTGGGGCCAACGCCGACAGCAGGTGCGAGCTCCAGGTGGGATTGAGGCGCACGGGAACAAAAAATTTTCAGTAACCACCAGAGGCTCGCCCCAATGACAGCAACCAGCGCCCTGCCTTGGTCTGGCGCCCCCGCTCACCTGCTCCACTATCCCACCATGGCCAACGCCCGCCATGGTCCACATACGCCCCCTGGTGATCAGCACACATCATCGGTTGTTCCACCGTTCAGTCTATTTGCATATTAGCCTTTTGTTATGTAGGATCATACCTTAATAGTGTCATATATTCAGGGGCTGTATTTTTTCTTTGTAATCCTCACTGATAATGAGGCAGTAAGTACTCTGCACTCATTTTCTGTTTATCTCAGGCTGCTAACTTGGTGATGGGAAAGTGGTACCTGAAGTCCTGTACATGTGATTAAAAGTAAATAAATGAAGAAAACAGAACTCAGATGCTCTTTCTTATTTCATCTTTGTCAACCGCTGTTCTTAAAGTTATTATTTATCTACAACCTCTTAAGGAGTATTTAAATATAGACTTTAAAAGTTCAGCTTGGTTGGAGCATCATCCCACACACCAAAATTTTGCGGGTTTGATTCCAGCCAGGTTACATACCCGGATTGAGGGTCTGATCCCTGTTTGGGGCATGTACGAGAGGCAACCAATCACTGTTTCTCTTTCACATCAATGTTTCTCTCTCTCTCTCTCTCTCTCTCTCTCTCTCTCTCTCTCTCTCTCTCATCATTAAGAAAAGTTTGTCCTCCGGTAAGGATTTTTTTAAAAAGTTGAACTCTAAAAATTTTCCAAAGTTATTAATTTTATTAATGGTAAATCCCTTCAATGAATCATTTTAGGGCATTAAAGCAATTATTAAAGCATTTATCTTTTCAAAATTAAATCCACATATAGGCAAAACCAGTGGTGATGACATTTCATTTGGATCTACTGAATAGTCAAAAAGAAAAGAAAAACCTAGATGTTTAATTTTTCTAAGGGAAGGAAAGAGAAGCTCTGAGCTGGTACTTGAAAATACACAAAAGAGGCAGGGAAGCACAGTTTCCTGGAGAGTGTTCAAAAAAAGCGGGGCCTGAATATTCCAACTCACACTTGCCCTTCTGAAAGCATTCTCCACAGGCAGGCGGGCAGAGCAGAGGAACTTAACAATGGCCCTGCCTCAGGGGCTGGTCCTGGGCACAATGCCATTTAATCCTCATACTCATTATTCGGGAGGAAGGTAAGCTAGAAGTAGACAAGCTCCTTGTCAAAATTTATGAAAGACAATCACTAGGAACTGAAGAGATCTAGAAGAAACTGTGGCTGGATTTAGGTGCATTACGCAACCAACACCAAGGAAGGCAAAAGTCAAGGTACAACTCCAAGGCCACACAGAGGAGCCTGACTAATGCCATTTGTTTCCTTTAGGCTTGCAGTCACTAAGTATATGAGAAAGGGAAGCCAATAATGTTCATTTCTAGACAGTTAAATGCCAAGACTGTAAGACACATGATAGAGTAATAAGATACATACAAGATCATCTAATGATCCACAGGGCTCTGATCTATGGTCTACATAGTTCTGTTCAGAATTCCAAATCTACTGTGAGTCCTTTGATAGCTATTCCTTCTCGCTCTAAGCAGAAATTATCCGCCTTCTCTAACTCCCGTACAGCAATTTATGGCCCATCTCGAGTATTTTTCACATTGTGATTTGCACTGTAAGTAAAAGTATAAGTTCCTTGAGAGCCAAGACCCTGACTTTGTATTCTTCGCTTCCACCAGAATAACAGATTTCTAACAAATGGTTGTTAAAGGCAATTGAGTGAATAGAATATGAGCCCTGCAGCCCGAGACTGTCCAAGTTTAAGCCCTAATTCTACCACTAACTTTGAGATGGTGGGAAAGTTTCTAATCTTTGTGTCTCCATTTTTTTCATATGTAAAACTGGCACAGTAATTATTGTGAGGATTAAATGAGATAATACCTGTAGTGGGCTTAGAATGGTACTTGGCATATACTTAAGTGTTGAATGAATGTTGCCTAGTAATCCTAGTAATCAGTAGTCAAAGTAACAGCACATTAATAAATGACCGACATACATGAAAAAATCATCATAAAAATTAGAGGGGGTCCTGATGCTGGGTTTTCCTGGAATCAATGACAGTATTTCTCCCAGATTTAAATCTTTCACAATTAGATAACATACAGACTTTCTGTTAAATTAAATTTTAGATAAACAACAGTATTTTTTTAGTATAATTTTGTCCCAAAATTGCATGGTAAGAGAAAGATGGTAAACCAGCATCTAGTAGAATAAGAACATTGGTTTGCTATTTTTAAAAAAGTCTCTAAATCTTAAAAGTCACTCCCTTGCTCTGTTAAAGAACTTCCTTCTTTACCACCTTTAGGAAGGCCTCCTCGTCACACAGTCACACCCCTTAACACCAACACTAAGTTGAAGTGAAAATGAGAATTTTAAACTACATATAGGAAGACACTCTTTCTGTATCCTTCCTCTAGTTTCTAAAGTCAATAAAAACATATTTAAAAAATAAATAAACTGGTGTCGATTATTTGAGGACATATCTGTGAGAGGCAGGTTTCTACAGAATCCAGAACATATTAGGCACGCAGGTTGAGAGTATTATGACATCTCACACATACTCTATAAACAGGTCTTCTTTTACAAATAACATCAAACTTATGCTTTCAATTCTAATGAACAAGCTTGCAACTGGGATCTTACCCCTCAGCACTGATTTGAGGTTGAGCTTGGCTTGGCGGTGCAGGTCCTCCACGCAGGGGGGCCTCGAGGCCGGAAGAAACACGTTCTCCTGCTGGTGCCAGGGAGCAGTGTAGTGGACTGTCCATCTGCTCTCCTCATCTAGGTTGGAAACCGCTGTAGAAAGAGAGTTACAATCAACCCAGCTGTCAAATTAAGTTTCACTGGCTCTACATGCACTGCATCAAGATGGGTTCTTGGTGCCCAACACATCCCTGGGTTAAGGGCCAGCGAGAGGGAAATGGAGCGAATTCTAAGTGAGATTTAACCTTAGACTCCAGGGGTCCTTCCCACAGTGTTCGTCTCTAAAGGAACCGGTGAAACTGTCCATCATGTTTTGGTAGAAATGTTTAGTCAATTAATTGCTTCCTAGCATTTTAGACCCTCCCTCTAAGCCAGCGTTAGAAAATGATTGACAGAATTGATAGAGACCTCCAATTCCTAACTAAGTCTACCATGACAGGCATCTGCTATTCAATTATACAGAGCAATTGCTCAGTAGACGTTAGAGTATCAGAACAGAAACAAATTTCCTACTGAGAAGTTGAGACAAAATATTTCCTCCCTTAAGCATTATTTTAAAACACCAGTTATAAACTCAATTAAATTTAAAAATTAAGCATAAGCAGTCAATGTAATTCATTTAAATAGCATATTTAATAGAAATCAATTTGTGCTACAAAATTTTCTTTGCATTTCTTGTTTTCATGAAATACTTTTATATTAAAATGGTTTTTTTAAGTCCCATGTAATTTACTTTTCCAAACACAATCCAATTCAACTGAATTTTTTCAGCATAAAAGAGATTAAAGCCCTAGCCGGCTTGGCTCAGTGGATAGAGCATGAGCCTGCGGACTGAAGGATCCCAGGTTTGATTCCGGCCAAGGGCACATGCCTGGGTTGCGGGCTCGATCCCCAGTGGGCGGTGTGCAGGAGGCAGCCGATCAATGATTCTCTCTCATCATTGATGTTTCTATCTCTCTCTCCTTCTTCCTTCCTCTCTGAAATCAATAAAGAAATATATTTTTAAAAAAGAGAGATTAAAATATTAGGAGGGGGAATGATAGGTAATCATGAGAGAATGCTAAATCTCTACAATAATTTTTCTTTATTCCCCCCTAGGGTTTGAGACCTCTTTGTCTATTTCACTTTCCCTGACAACACAACCTAAAGTAGCATACTAGTGGAGCACCAAATAAATTCACCAACAATTTTTATAAAGATTTTTAAAGAGAAGGAGAGGAAGAGAGAGAAACATCAATATGAGTGTGAAACATAGACTGGCTGCCTCCTGCATGCCCCCCACCAGGGAATCGAGCCAGCAACCCTTCGATGCACACGGGACAACACCCAACCAACTGAGCCACACCAGCCAGGGAGCATCAAAAATTTTAAGTACTTTCCATATATCTGCCACCACAAGCCAAGCATAGAATAAACTAGAGAAGTATAAGAGAAAAACCCTGTGCTGAGTCATCTGCAGGTGGTGACAAGTATGACACCTGAGCAGGCATGCATGAACTATTCTACTTCCTATTTGAACATATTTAAAGTTAACACAGTGGACCCCATAGCACAGCTACTACATCTATCTATCTATCTATATATATCCTATCTAATAATAGAGAAACATGGTAATTAGCCATACCTCCACTACCCTTCCCATTGGCTAATCAGGGTGATATGCAAATTAACTGCCAACCAAGATGGCGGCCGGCAGCCAGGCAGCTTGAAGCGAACAGGAGGCTTGCTTGCTTCAGTGATGGAGGAAGCCAACGTTCTCCGCCTGCGGCTGCCGGCCTCTAAGCTTTCAGTTTAAGAAACATTGTTGCAAGTATAGAAGCTAAAAAAAACCCAGAAACCTGCTTTCAGCCAGCAGGGCTTCAGCGAGCAGGACCGCAACAGTGTTTCAATTATAGAACCCAAACAAACCCAGTACCTGCTTTTAGCAGCCGAGGCCTCAAGCTGGAGCTGGCCTCAGAGCTAAAGGAGAGGTTGGGAGCTTCAGTCACCCACAAGCCTGAAAACGGCCCTCAGCCCCTCACCCAGACTGGCCAGACACCCCAGTGGGGACCCCCACCCTGAAGGGGGTGTGACCAGCTGCAAACAGCCATCATCCCCTCATCCAGGCTGGCCAGGCACCCAAGCGGGACCCCCACCCTGATCCGGGACACCCTTCAGGGCAAACCAGCCGGCCCCCACCCGTGCACCAGGCCTCTATCCTATATAGTAACAGGGTAATATGCCTCCCAGCACCGGGATCAGCGGAGCCGCGAGGCCTCACATCCTGGGATCAGCGGAGCTGCGAGGCCTCCCAGCACCGGGATCAGCAGAGCAACGAGGCCTCCAGGCACCGGGATCAGCAGAGCAGCGAGGCCTCCAGGCACCGGGATCAGCAGAGCAACGAGGCCTCCCAGCACCGGGATCAGCAGAGCAACGAGGCCTCCAGGCACCGGGATCAGCAGAGCAGCGAGGCCTCCCAGCACCGGGATCAGTGGAGCCGCGAGGCCTCACATCCTGGGATCAGCGGAGCCGCGAGGCCTCCCAGCACCGGGATCAGCAGAGCAGCGAGGCCTCCCAGCACCGGGATCAGCGGAGCCGCGAGGCCTCCTGGCACTGGGATCAGCAGAGCCGCGAGGCTCCCGGCACTGGGATCAGCAGAGCCACAAGGCCTCCCAGCACCGGGATCAGCAGAGCAGCAAGGCCTCCTGGCCCCTGAAGCAGCATGACAGGGGGCAGTGCCCAAACCCCCGATCGCCCTGCGGCTCTGTGTGTGACAGGGGGCGGGGTCACAACCTCCCTATCCGCCCTGCTCTGTTCGTGACAGGGGAAGGCGCCCCAACCCCGATTGGCCCTGCTCTGTGCCTGATAGGGGGGAGCTCCCCAACCCCCTGATCGGCCCTGCTCTGTGTGTGACGGTGCGGCGCCCCAACCTCCCCATCGGCCCTGCCCTGAGTGTGACAGGGGGGAGTGCCCCAACCCCCTGATCCGCCCTGCTCTGTGTGTGACAGGGGGTGGCACCGCAACTTCCCCATCGACCCTGCCTTGAGTGTGACAGGGGGAGGAGCCCCAACCCCCCAATCGGCCCTACCCTGAGCGTGACTGAGGGTGGCATCGCAACCTCCTGATCCGCCCTGCTCTATGCATGACAGGGGGCGGCACCCCAACTCCCCAATCGGCCCTGTTCTGAGCCCAACCAGGGGCTGCACCTAGGGATTGGGCCTGCCCTCTGCCACCAGGGAGCAGGCCTAAGCCAGCAGGTCGTTATCTCCCGAGGGGTCCCAGACTGTGAGAGGGCACAAGTGGGGCTGAGGGACACCCCCCCCCACCCGCCAGTGCACAAATTTTTGTGCACCGGGCCTCTACTATATATATAAAAAAGAGGAAATATGCAAATTAGGTCAGGACGCTGTAACAGGTCACGAACAGACAGGAGGAGGTTGCGCGCACAGGTGAGGCCCGGAGCGGAGATGGAGACAGAGACAGGGGGTCAGGCGGCTAGGGCGCCCCCCCCCCCGCTGCCCCCCAGCTGGAGCAGACATGGATAGGGACGGGGGGCCGGCCTGCAGCCTTGGGCCCACCTCCCACGGAAGCAGCACTGCTCCTGGCGGCGCACTGTGGTTCCTGCCGGCTCCTTCGGAAGCGGCGGGCAGCCTACTGTATGCGATATCGCTCAATGGGCTACTAGTCTATTATAAAGATCAAGTGAACTACTATATGTAAAGTCTTAGCTCACAGAATAACTCATGTAAAGCCTGGTGAGGCAGGGACAGTGAAATTACCCCGAAGGAGCCCCTGACTGGTAGCACCATCACTGGGAGGAAGTTGTCCTTCCTAAGCACCCCCAGGAACCCGAGCCACGGGTAAGCTCTCCCCTCACCTCCTCTGCAGCTACGATATTCTACCAGCCTGCTCCCAAATAGTTCATTTCCTAAGTGATCCCACTTCTCCATCAATTGCTAAGTGGGAAAATAAACACTGAGACCTAGACATCAAGTTATAAACGGAAATGTCCCGTGCGCTTTCTGCTTTTAGTGTTTGACAAAGAAGCATGTACATTAGGCACTGGGGATTCATGTAACCTCTCGTTGAACAAATGTTTTGCATGGTGCATATAGCTCTCAATCTTAATACAGAACACCCACGAGGACTAAGTTCTTACTTACATATCTGATCATCTTGAACAGTCTGGAATTCGCCGTATGGGCCCCAAAGAGGAGCCCTAGTCAATTACAATGCTTTGTGCTCATGTCCATGTATATGAAAGACTGAATTACCCGCGATCATAGCTGGAAAGTACTGAAAATGGAAACTCTTCCTATTTTCCAATTACAAATCAAATCCAAGTAATGCTATTCGAGTCTATGCAACCACACCATTAGCCCCCCTGCACAGCAACCAACTGGCTCCTATGAAAGGGCCGTGGTCTCTTCCCTGGTTTTCTCACTCTTGCGGGGGCAGATTTCAGTCAGTCCATCCAAAGACAGCCTTCCAGGGGCAGAGCTGCAGACAGCGATCCCAGGGTGCAGTTCTTTGTTGCTTCCTCCAAAGTTTTTCTTTACCAATGGCTCCTACCCTTGCACATTTATTCAGTTTCAATCACTGGTCCCAAAACTAAACTAAAGCTAATCAACCAGTAACTATGTAAAAATAAAACCATGTATGTGTGAAAATTATACTTTTCCAGGGAATGAAGAAGCACCTGGATTAAAGAAATTTAAACCAATGGTGAGTGAACAATGAAGCCACACCGCGAAAGCTGTGTACTTTACAATGGCTGACAGACCGGTCTAGACAGAGTTTGTGCTCCAGTTCTGAAACACAAAACAGAGAGTGCCAGGGGGTTTAGCGGATCATCACCACCAAAAATATGTGACACCTGACACAGAGGTTCCCTGCACAGTCAGCCAAAGAATGAAAAAAACATACAGCAGGGTGGACATAAAGTAAACACAAGGTCCTTCCCTCCACCTTCTTCAAAGGGCTGCTTTTGAGAGCACAAAAGCAGTGAATTCACCGGAAATCTGAGCCACAAATAAGTAAGGCATGTGAGATGACATAATTCTGCCCTAGAGCCCCAAAAGTCAGAGGTATTTGAACAACCTGCTTTAGAATGG